AACATTTGCCTATCTCTTTATAAAAATGATTTGGTTATAAAAATGATCTGCTACACCACTGTTATACATGTGATATGATAAAGAACACCAATCCAGATTATAATGAGTCAGATGATGAATATAAGTGACTTTAAAACAACAGAATAGTCAGGGATTTCAATCATGCTGTAAAACTCATTTATTCAGATCTTGAGGTCATCCGAGTAGACAGTAATGCAGTACTTTGATTTGGAAATATAAGGCATACAGGACACATGGTTTGTTTGGCTAACTTCTTTTACAGTTTTCCAGCTAGAACTTTCATATTATGGTCTTTAAATTCAAATTTAACTAGAACTCGCGGGCATTTAGAGTGTGGTTGAAAGTATGTAAACTGTTGTAGGATGAATTTTTGGTGGAAGAAGACTTTTAAATTTTCTGAAATCCTATACTGCCGGCTGTAAAATCATTGAACCGTTACCAGGAGTGAGCCTCCTCATGGGGTTGTTATACGACCACAAAAAATTTTTTGGGATCGTATAATGGTATGATGTCGTCGTCTGCGTCGTTGTCTGCGTCTGCGTCGTCGTCCGAAGACGCATTGGTTTCCGGACAATAACTTTAGTTTAAGTGAATTTTTTAGGAAGGTTCAATACCACAAAAGGAAGGTTGGGATTGATTTTTGGGGATGATGGTCCCAACCGTTTAGGAATTAGGGCCCTAAAAGGGGCCCAAAACAAGTATTTTTTCTAGTTTAAGGATAATAACTTGTGTATAAGTATTTTGATTCCTCTGAAATTGTACCACAAAGTTTAATACTACAAGTAGAAGGTTGGGATTCATGTAAGGGGTTATGGGGGCCAACAATTTAGGAATTAAGGGCCAAAAAGGGGCCAAAAACATGCATTGTTCTAGCTCCCAGACGATAAGTTGTGTGTAAGTGTATGGATATTTCTGACATTGTACCACAAGGTTCCATATAACAAACGGAAGGCTGGGATTGAGTTTGGGGTTAATTGTCCCAAACATGTAGGAATAAGGGGCCACACTACAAAGGAAAGGCTGGGATTGAGTTTTAGGGTTATTGCTCCAAGGGGGGTTTCAAAAAGTTGGGGGGGGGGGATTTTTTTTCCCAATTTTTTAAGGGATCCATATCTTTTTTTCAAAATTTTTTAAATTTCAAATTTTTGAAAAGTTTCAAGAAGAAATCTTTAATTGCACATGTACAGTATTGCGCAATGAATTTATAAGATATTTGGCCACATTTATTTTGTGTCAGTAACCTATATTATGTCAAAAATTTGATCACAATCCAAATTCAGACAGTATCAAGCTTGAATATTGTGTCTAAGTTTGCCCCAACTGTTCAGGGTTCGACCTCTGCGGTCGTATCAGGCTGCGCTCAGCGAAGCATTTTATTGATTATGGGATTATTTGGCCGTTTTTTTAGTGACTATTCGATTACCAGACCAAATATTTCATGATTATTTGATTATTTGATAATCTAGGACTGTATTTTTTTATTATTTAATTATCTCGTTTAGAAACCCCCCTTTGGAGCAATAACCCCAAAACTCAATCCCAGCCTTTGCCTTGTAGTACGGAACCTTGTAGTACAATTTCAGAGAGATCTATACACTTACACACAAGTGATTGTCTGGAAACTAGAAAAATGCTGGTTTTTCGCCTTTTTTTTCTGGCCCCTAATTCCTACAATTGCCCCAAACATGTAGGAATTAGGGGCCAAAAAAAAAAGGCGAAAAACCAGCATTTTTCTAGTTTCCAGACAATCACTTGTGTGTAAGTGTATAGATCTCTCTGAAATTGTACTACAAGGTTCCATACTACAAAGCAAAGGCTGGGATTGACTTTTGGGGTTATTGCTCCAAAGGGGGGTTTAACAAAATTGGGGCGGGAGGGGGGGGGGGTAGATTTGCTTTGGGGGGTTATGGCTCAAACCGTTTAGGAATTAGGGGCAACAAAGGGGGAAAAACAAGGGTGTCCTGGTAAATGGACAAATACTTTAGTATAAAACATAATTTAAAGCAGTGTAAGGGAGGTAATTCAAATACATCATTTGAATTACCTCACTTACACTGCTTTTAAATTAGGTATAAAGTAATGGTTAATGAACAATTAAGACAATTTAAAAGCAGTGTAAGGGAGATAATCCAAATACAATGTTTTGATTACCTCCCTTACACTGCTTTTAAATTATGTTTAAAGAAATGCATATTTATAAAGGAAGACCAGTAAAAATAACTGCAAATGTTGCATCTTTTTTTTTTTACAAAAAAATCCATATGAAAGACTTGACACCATATTTTAAATTCTATTATAAAATAGATTAAGTTAGCACTATGGTAAATTTAAATGGGTAATTATGGTTGCAAACTCCATTTAAAATTTGAATTGAGATTATGACCATATCTTGAGGGAAAGAATTTTTTTTGGGGAAAAGGGGGGAGGGTGAAAAGAAATTATCGGGAGTCAATTTTTTCTCATTTCAGATTTCAGAAATTAAAAAGAAAAATTCATTAAATATTGGGTGTGTGGGGGGGGGGAGTAATACGCAACAGCATAGTGTATTGCACAAAAGCAAGAAAAACAGGGGGGGGGGGATTTTTTAATTTTTTTTTGTGGGGGAGGGCGGTCAATTCGCAACAGCAAAGTGTATTGCACAAAAGCAAAAAATTGAATATAAATTCAAATCATATAACAATTCTAAGTTCTTTGACTACAGTTATACTGTGTCAGAAACCTTTTGTGTGTCAAATATTTAATTTCAATCCAAATTTAGACCTGTATCAAGCGCGAATATTGCGTCCATTTTTGCCCCAACTGTTCAGGGTTGGACCTCTGCGGTCATATCCAGCTGCGCTCGGCGAAGCAATTTATTATGTTTAGTATAGTGAGTTTTGGTTGAGTTCTGAGTATTATTAAAGATTATTAATTTTGGATGAAAAAAATATGTCGAAAACAGTAATGGGACAGAGCAGGCTGGGTTGGTGGGGGCTGCTTTGATGGTAATTCAAGTTAACTTTTATGCATCTTTTTCCACCTCAGAGTGATCAGCTCTTTGATTTTAAAATATCTTTTGACTGGAGAATTTCAGGAAAGGTATCAAAAGTATCTTATACATGAACGGATGTCAATGACAATATAACATTTTGAATTTTTCACCAGGTCAAAATATTGGATGTGAACCTGAAGAATGTCAACTCAAAGGTCAGCTATTTGTAGTATTAAACATGAACGCACAATTTTTAGGAGGCGAGTTGCTTTGCCAACATGCATCTTAATTCATTGTGCAGAAGACCCAATAATTGATATGTTAACCTTTTCAATTTCAGTCACTCGAAAAGGATTACATTATTACGTCATATGAATAAGAGCCATAATAAGATACTCAATAAACCTGACAACCACTTAAAGTCGACGACGTCACAATGCGATTTATGCACAAAAACGCCATATTTTACTGAAAAGTTGTCAAGAGTTTTCAGTAGGAAACTTTACCATATTAGAATCAAATAAATTCATGCATTCCATAGATTTGTTATCGTTTCACATGACCTGGGTCATTATATTCGTTAATTTTATCACTTGCTTACGCTCCGGATAAAATTCCAATATAAAAACCCAGGCCATGTGAAAATTTTCAACAAATCTTAGGCTTGCATGATTATATACCGGTTCCAGGAGTCCCAAGAAAAATCCGATTTTTATCTGTTCCAGGGACCTACAGAATCTTTGATACCAGTTCCTGTAGCTCCGGTACCAAAAACATTGTATGAAATCAAGTTAGGAATTAATTGTTCGTAAATCTACCAAAATTCTGTAATTTTAAACAGTCTTAAACGAAAGTCTTGTCTATGACTTTAAAGTACGTCCGATGACGGAAACAATATTCGGACCCTTTATTTTCGCTGTCTTTCCAAAATAACCACAACGGAATAATCAAAAGCGAGGATGACACATACGATTATGCATGGTACTTATAGCACACAGAGGCATGATGGTTAATTTGTTTTTGGAAGGAAGAGAAGCGACACATAAAATGAGGTCTTCTCATTTAATAGATGACAGAATATTTAATCTTTCTTAACGGGTCATATAGTTTTTCAACATCATGGTTTTGGCACTATATTTATACATGCATTGGGGGCATCATCATCGTCTAGATCTAGCGTAACGACCATTGAATTTTAAAAATGTTGGCCGTTCCTACCTTGTCATCACAATACCCCAAAGATGGTTTATTATATGAAACCTATTCCATTGTTAGATTCTGATATGGAAATGTTCATGTATTTTGGATGTACATGCATTAGAGACAACAACAAATGAAATTCATACTAGATAAAATGTCAAATTATCCTTTGATTCCTTGTTTTTCAGTCAATTACATACTCAAACATAAATAAATGATACAGCGGCTACAAGTTCAGCATAATAGACAGTTTTAGTTGATATCGTTAAGTTGTGTATTTGTTTATATACCTAAATGTTGTCGGTCAACTAGCATTCCCTAGCTCGTAAGGGAAAGAACACAAATTAACTTTAAATTTGAAACTCAGTGTGTGAACATGATCATATGGAAATTTAAATTGCAATTTAAATATTTGTAATGCAAATATAATTGACAGACATCATTAACCATTTTTTTATCATCTTTCTACAAAAAGAACTGCAGTAATGCAACTATTTGGAACAGTAATATATCAAAATAAAATTAAGAAAATGAGATGTTTTTGCCAATATTGACTAATAGAATAAGGTGTAAAAGATCCCTGTACCGCCTTCAATAAGTTTTTTTTAGCAACAACTCAATTCAGTAGGACTAAAATATGATTTGAAATTATGCACACACTGCTATTCCAAACTTTCCAATATTGTTTTTGATCACTTGATAAATGAAATTAATTGGCTGCAAAGCTAATGTTATGACATAGTTTTTTCTGATTTATAACTGAAAAACTTATATACTTTCAATAATTTAACTACCCAATTACCTTATTTTTAATCCATGCATATATAGGTGGGATCGACCAGCAGTCTGCATTCAGTTTGATTGACAAATCCTCAGGAATGAATTTTGTGATTCCATGTAGTCCTTGACTCATGTCTACAATTGCAAGCATCATTCTGAGCAGGTGTTGTACTTCTGCTGAATAAGTCCTGGTTATTTCAGTTAAAAATTTTCCTGTAATATAAATTTGTCTATCTGTAGCTGATAATTCACTCTCCATATATTTATTTCTGCAATTTCTAAAATAAATGTTTTATTATATCAATATTTTTTATATATACAAGCTCACTTTGTCATGGTTAAAAAATGTTTTGTTGAGTCTGCCAGGTAACCATATTGACACATACTGGTAATTAAGTCTCCCAAACAAAGTTTGGAGACTTATTGTTTTTGCTCATTTCTTATTATTTAGGTCTTTCCACTTTTCCTTGGAAAGACCTTTTGCTTTTGTTCTGATTATTAGGTCTTTCCAATTTTCTGTGGAAAGACCTTTTGATTTTCTTCTGATTATTAGGTCTTTCCACTTTTCTGTGGAAAGACCTATTGCATTTGTTCTGATTATTATTAGGTCTTTCCACTTTTCTGTGGAAAGACCTATTGTTTTTGTTCTGATTATTATTATTATTATTATTATTTTCCGCCTAATTTTTTTCTAGCAATAAATATTTGTTTCACAATATGTCGCTTAGATATTTCTCATATTGTATCGTATAGTTTCTGCGCTTTTAAATTTCACCCTGCTAAGACGAACAATTTTCTTTGTAAGAGTTATCTCCTTATTCACTGTTTATCAAGTGTGTGCATCTCCTTCGTAACAAAAAAAAAGATATCGACAAAATTCTTTTTCTTAATTGTTCGTTACATCCTCAGGAATTTTCGGTTAATTTGGATCGAAGCGATTCGAGGAAATTTTATAGGAGTTATCTACCTTTACCAAAAAAATTTGTCGGTATGTTTTTTCAACTCATAAACTTTTAACCGTATAACCCTGGAATCTTTTTATTTGAGGCCCCTAGGTCCTAACTTTGAAAATGAAGTCAACGCAAAGGTCAAGGTCAAGTTCCAAATTTTGACTTTTCCTTGTTTTTACATTTTCTCCAACACTTTTAAAGATATATATAAAAGAACAAGTGTTTGCTTTATTGTAATGAAGATATGTTATATTTGGTCTGAAACAATCTAATGACATCTTATAGTTGTGCCCCTGAAATGTCTAATTATAAGGTTAATTGATCATTACTTCAACTTGGTTCATTATAAAGCCATATGACCTTTTATAAAAGGTTGGATGACATATGACCTTGAAAAATGACAACCGGAAGTGACCTTGAGAAAAACGGAAGTAGCCATTTTTGCACTTTTTTCATGGAAAAGTACTCGTAATCCATATATTTTGTAATTTAAATACATAAACTTATCACCAAAGACTAGAAGTGTTTTTCAATAAACAGGAAGTGGCCAATTATCTCCTGGTTTACAGGCAAAAATATATAGAAACTATATATATTTGGAATCAGTTTGAAAGAAGCTATCATATGAGATCGGAAGTGAAATTTACTTCAACAGAAGTAGCACATTATCTCCCTTATTTCACTCAAAAGTATATAGAAACCACTTATTTATCGTATCAGTATGAAGAAACTTATGATTGGATAAAATTGAGAATGGAAATGGGGAATGTGTCAAAAAGACAACAACCCGACCACAGAACAGACAACAGCAGAAGGTCACCAACAGGTCTTCAATGCAGCGAGAAATTCCCGCACCCGGAGGCGTCCTTCAGCTGGCCACTAAACAAATAAATATACTAATTCAGTGATAATGAACGCCATACTAAACTCCAAATTGTACACAAGAAACTAAAATTAAAAATAATACAAGACTAACAAAGGCTGCCAATTTTAACTTTGAGTAAACAGGAATTAGCTTCTTTTCAAGAACTTTGAAAATTGATGTGGAAAGACCTTCAATTGTTCTCTGAACAATAGGTTTTTAATTATTATTTTTATACTCCCGTTTACGGGACGTTTTATGGTATACCGTTGTCCGTCTGTCCGTCCGTCCGTCCGTCCGTCATCAACATGTCGGAAACTAACTCAAAAACGCTTTAACCAATTTGCATAAAACTTTGGTGAATTGTTTATATCTATTGCCGTTAGCTCCCTTTCGTTTTTTATAAATTTTAGAGTTTACGTTTCTGAGTTATGGGATTTTATTCATTAAAAAGGGGGGATTTTCCAGTTTTCGGACAATAACTCAAGAATGCTTTCAATCACCAACTTGCAAGAAATTGTGGTGAATTGTTTATATCTATTGACATGAGCTCCCTTTTGATTTTTATAAATTTTAGATTTTACGTTTCCAAGTTACGGGGTTTTATTCATAAAAAAAAGGGGATTTTCCAGTTTTCAGACAATAACTCAAAAATGATTTCAGCAGTTCTCTTGAAACTTTGATGAATTGTTGATATCTATTGATGTAAGCTCCCTTTAGAATTTTATAAATTTTAGATTTTACATTTCCGAGTTATGGGGTTTTATTCATTAAAAAAGGGGGGACTTTCCAGTTTTCAGACAATAAATCAAAAATGCGTTCAGCAATTCTTATGAAACTTTGATGAATTGTTCATATCTATTGATATGAGCTCCCTTAAGAATTTTTTTAATTTTATTTGTTTATAGTCTGACAACAGATTTACCAAGTAATGCGCTACAGCATAGTGTATTGCAAAACAGCAAGAAATCTTTAATTGAATATAAATTCAATTCATATAACCAATTTCAAGTTCTTCGACTACATTTATTCAGAAACCTATAATATGTCAAATATTTAATTACAATCCAAATTCAGACCTGTATCAAGCTTGAATATTGTGTCCATTTTTGCCCCAACTGTTGGACCTATTCGGGCGTATCCAGCTGCGCTCAGCGAAGCAGTTTATTTTATCTACTTCCGCCACTTTTTTTTTCTTGTGTATATATTTTGTTTCGCAAGATGTTGCTTAGATGTTTGGTATATGATATCGAACAGTTTATGCACCTTTGAAATTGACCCTGCTTAATCATATACTTTTCTTTGAAGGAGTTATCTCCCCGGACACTGCTTTCCTTGTGAGTGCATCTCCTCCGTAACCATAAAAGAAAATGACAAATTAGTTTTACCAAATTGCTCTTTATATCCTCAGGATGTTTTGTCCAATTTTGACTGAAGCAATATCAGAACTCCATGTGAGAGTTATTTCCCCTTCTGTATTTGACATAAGGGATACATAAATGTATAGCATGAATGGTAAGTGATAGAAACCTAAGGTATATTGATTTGAGGTCCTTGGTTCATTCAAATGAAATTGAGGCCAAGGTCAAAGGTAAAGGTCATATTCTAAATTTTGACTTTTCCTTGTTTTATAATCTCTTCTGTCACTTTTAAAGATATCTATACAAGAAGTAGTGCAAAATGTTTGCCTTATTGTGATTAAGATATGATACATTTGGTCTGAAACAATCCTATGACATCTTATAGGAGTTAATGTCCCAGAAATATTCAATTTAAGGTTAATTGATTATTACTCCAACTAAGTACATGATAAAGTCATAGGGTCTTTTGCAAACTGTTGGTTGACATATGACCTTGACAAATGTCAACCGAAAGTTACCTTGAGTAAACCGGAAGTAGCCATTTTTGTACTCCTGTCATGGAAAAGTACCTAGAAACTATATATTTTTTAAATATGCATACATAAACCTATCATTTGAGACCTAAAGTGACCTTCACTAAACCGGAAGTACCTAATATCTTCCTTATCACAGGTAAAGGGTGCTATAAACAGTTTCGTATAAAAACTAGGGATTATTCCCAAACTAAAAATAGCCACGGAGGGAAATCCCTTTTATTTACATAATTGGTGAAAAAGTATCATGTTTTTTGTATTTGATAGTAAAAATTAGTTAATTAGCTTCAATTAAAACAGGTTGAATGATTAAAATAATTTTAAAAATTCGATTAAATATACATGTTTTAAGGGGAGACAATAGTTATCAAAGGTACCAACCAGGCTTATAATTTGATACGCCAGTCACGCTTTTCATCTTCATAAGACTCATCAGTGACGCCCAGATCAAAATAGAAAGACAAAATAAAAGCCAAAATAAGTACAAAGTTGTAGAGCATTGAGGACCCAAAATTCCCAAAAGTTGTGCAAAAATACGGCTAAGGTAATCTATGCCCTGGATAAGAAAATCCTTATTATTTCGAATAATTCATACTTTTGCAATCAGTAAATTTATAAAATTGACCATATAATTGATTTTCATGTCAACACCGAAGTGCTGACTACTGGGCTGTCGATACCCTTGGGGACAAAACGTCAGTAGCATCGATCCAGTGGTGTAAATAGTTATCAAAGGTACCAGGCTTATAATTTGATACGCCAGACGCGCGTTTCATCTTCATAAGACTCATCAGTGACGCTCAGATCAAAATAGTTAGAAAGCAAAAATAAGTACAAAGTTGTAGAGCATTGAGGACCCAAAATTCCCAAAAGTTGTGCCAAATACTGCAAAGGTAATCTATGCCTGGGATAAGAAAATCCACACTGTAAACTGTTTTTGGCAGTGAAAATTGAAAACTTATTTGTAACCACTGTAGCACTTTTCGAAGCAGGCGAACGTATCCTGAAGTGAGAATTGTTGAAAAGACCAGGTAAAAAATCTAAGAAATTCATACAGTTTTGATTATGTGATATGTGCCTGTAATCATACCTACATGGGTATGCACATGTCCTGATTTCAGGTTTTTCATGTTCAGATTAGGCATTCTATCTCCCATTTTCTCTGGATAGAACTTTTTTATTATATTAAAAGTACACGTTATTCTTATTTCATTATAAATAAATTTTATGGTTCATTAAATTCAAAATAAATAATAGCCATTCATTAAATAAACTAGAGAAAATTCTGATTCCAGTGATATCTAGTTTTATACATGTATCTTTATAAAGAATACCACCACTAAGGGTCACTTATGCATGTTCCTTGAAAATATGACGTCATAGAAAAAAACTGTTGATTGCACCCAAAAGTATAAAGAAACCATTCTTTTTTGGAATCAGTGTAAATAAAGCTATCATGTGAGACAGGAAGGGACATTTTTGAAACCGGAAGTTGACAATTATCTAC